TTTTTGCGACGTCGTCGCCTAATTGGAAGCTACCCATTACCAATGTCCAAACTCGGTACAAGTCTGGAGTTTCTTTTTCAAGTTAGGGTGACAAGCAAGTACACATTTCACAGTATCGAATGCTGTTGTTCTTGTATTTATAATAGTATATTTTTAAAATCTTCATATAGCTATGAAACATCACTTGGCTTCTACCATCACGATGTTGTTCGGCACATTTGACATACTGTTATCGTTGCATTTACAGACTATTAAAGTCAACTGAACTGAACTGAACATAAACCTCCCCTATAGATTGCCTCATAGGGGAGATAATCGCCATAGTTGCCACGCTTGGCAAGCGGGTTGGCAACAGCAGTTTTTCATTTTAAGTCGTTATTAGGAAGACGCTGCTGCTCATCTACTGATTTGTTTCCCCCTGTCGCCTCTTACGACACCCACGGAATGATATGGGGTAGTGAATATTCTTACACCGCCTCTACACGGCCACGGTCATCTCACATAAGTTGTAAATACAAGATGTAATACAGTATCTTTTTCTTGTTCGCTTTAACCCTTCTACATATGCATAAAACATAATAAATGCAATCCCTTCCACGTCGTGCAACCTGTCAAAGAGAACGAACTGAAACTGGCATGGATGCTCGTTGCTTTATCTGACGCGCTGGCATTTCGATGTCGTATGGCTCTAAATATCAGACTTATTTTATTAGATTCGTACAAGTTTTCGACCGGCTAGTTTTCAATCACGTGGATTGAAAACTAGCCGGTCGAAAACGTTACGTGAACAAGAACGCATGTTACCTGTGAACAGGTTACGTGAACTGACTTTATTCCAGCCCTATAAGGACATTATCCAACCGTGCAAACTTGTCAGCATCGATATAAATACGTAGGTGGCCAAACCACTGTTCCTACACTACTATCTAATAGCCCTTCACTTATTGGTTACAGCTTGTGGGTTAATGATCACCATTAGCTAGTTGTCAAGTTTTCTAACAAAAGATTGCATATTTACAAGGAAAATTACGTTCGTGGCTATTTATCATTCGATTTATTCCACTAAGTGTATTTAAATGTCTTTGGTAGGATCCTGATGACATTTTTAATATGAATTTCAACACTTTTGATCTTCGAACTTGAATATGATAAAAACCTTAAACTATACAATAAAAACGTTCTACGTGGTAGAGCCAAGCTGCAGCTATATTATGGTTATACACGAATGGGTCGGCTTGACCGGAAATGTTTCGTATGGTGTATATAGAAAACCGGAGGCCCTTTTTACTGAAAACGTGGCATTTTGCATGATTCTTAATTGAGGATAGATGTAGATGTCTATGAACCATCAACTTACCACATTGGTGTACTGTGTGCTCGTTTGTCTTCCCTATTCTATAAAAACCTATCAAGTAAAGTCTATTATTAATTTGTATAGGTAGGATGGCCATCATCCTTTCCAAATACCACATCAGTGCAGTTGTGAAGCAGCAGTTACAAAATCAGATAAATACAAGCTACCCCCATCAAATGAGAATTACGATAAAATACTTATCAACAATGTACCATATATGTTACGCACTCGCGAAACAAAGTCTTAAATAAAGAAGCTAAAAAACAACCACAACGCGTTTTGGTCCATTTAAATCATTTCAACGTGATATTTATATTGTGACACTTGTAAACACATTCACATTGCGACGTGACGAACTCCCACAAAGCGAAATACGTGCCATGGTTTTCACGGCATTTAACCACTATACGCACAGTGTTTCGTATCTTTACAATATAGGTTCTTATATAGGCTCTATTTTCGTAATTTTATTTAACGCTGAACAATATAAGTTTTACAAAATTTTCTAGAAATTTCGATATCGATAGTGTTTGTCGAAAAATATGCATTTTATAGAAAAAAAAAAATGTGTTCATTATCAAAATTAAACTTCAAGAGTACACAATTTTATTCATAATTACTCTATGTAAGAAATAAAAATACCTCATACCTATAGTGTAGTGTAGCCCCCACGATAATATATATCTGAGTTAAGTTTAGAATAAAATTAGTCCAATTAAAGTCCAGATCAGATCAACGTCTCCTTCTTATTGACACCTTTCCAACGTTACATGGCGACCCTGCCAAGACCTGTGACTTGTACTAGGTCTTTAATTGGACTAATCTTATTCTACAATTAACTCTGTTATATTATCGTAGTGTAGCACATACACTACATATCGCACGCAACGCGTCGTTACTATTTGAAGCTTCCTCACATTCTAGAGAGTTTTGAAACAAGCAAGAAGCCGCCGTCATCGTGTTGACGGACTTCACATATACTTGAAATATTTTTAATTTCTAAGACAGCAGATTGCAGATTTTCCCATGATGTTTTCCTTCACCGCCGAGTACATGTTAGGTACATCAGCAGATAAAATTCAAATCAACAATTTCATCAATGCCGGAGGAAATCGAACTTAGTTTGCTCGTATACTATAAAATTTTAACAACCCGTCATAAATATCGCGTATCGGGTTATATAAAGAGCATATAACGCACGCTTATTATGTTTTTCGCTCATGAGCGTTTTCGTTATTAGAGCCAAACATACACTCAAGATTAAAATTGGTTAACATTTAATATCTGTACAACTTCACTTGAATTCCGCAAGACATAACGAAAAAGCGCAAAAGAATTATGAATAAATATACATTTTAAAAGCAATTATTGCTTCGTCGATCAAAAGATATCTTCGCAAACTTCACGTTATCTTTTCTTTTACATGTCTCATCTTATATTTATTATCTGTAGGACTTGAGAAACAGGCTCTCTGAATACATAGTTTCATAAATATGTATTCCCGCAGTCATATTTTAATCGAAAATGGTCAGTAAATTTATAATTTCCCAAACGACATTATCTTATTAATGATGTTTCTTTTTAGTAAAGAATTGACGAACATTTATAAACACGTATTAAAAATAAGTACATTTGAGCTTAAAAATATTCGTTCAGCTCGAGTTACAAAATCGTTTTCAGTGCCTAGAAGATTGTGATGAAGTGGACGATATGAACGACGAGCTCGTGGAAACTGTTCATGCGGTCGAAGCTAAGTTTTGCAAGACCCGCCGCAGAAGAACACAAACACTCTCCGATCACACTCTCAATCTCATGGCTGTTAAACGGAAAATGAAGCTTCAGCAGATTTGACAGCATACAGGCAACTGAACAGACAGATCTCCAAATGCATGCGGCGAGAATTACGCATATTCAATACAGATCGTATTGAAGAAGCGATCGAGCGAAACCAGGGCTCCAGTCTTTCTGCCAGAAAGAACCAACTGTCGAAGTTGAAGACCGAGTGTGGCAGCATCGTTTCCGGGACTCCTGAGATTTTGAGTGAGATTGAGAGGTTCTATGGGCAACTGCACACATCATCGTTGGAGCCATACGCAAGTGTGAGTAACGATCCAAGAGCAAGTCTTTCCGACACTATTTCGATGATATTCGGCAGAATCGTTAGAGGACCTAAGCACCAATGACCTCGATAGTGCCTGCTAACGGATAAGTCTTAAGATGAATATGGACAAAACGAAGATCATGTATAACGTCCATGTCACACCTATGCCATTATTTGTTGGGAGTACTAAGGTCGAAGTTGTTGACGAGTATGTTTACCTGGGACAAAGTGTCCGACTAGGTAAGTCCAACTTCGACCGAGAGGTCAATCGAAGGATTCAACTCTGCTGGGCAGCGTTAGGGAAATTACGATCTTTTTGTCAGGTATACCTCAAAACTTGAAATCGAGACCGTATAACCAGTGCGTGTTGCCAGTGATGACCTATGGAATTGAGACGTGATCCTTCACTGCTGGCCATATGAGGGAGCTCAAGGTCGCTCAGCGAGCTATGGAGAGACATATGCTCGGGGTTTCTCTGCGTGATAAACTTAGAAATGAGGATATCCGCAGTAGAACCAGAGTAACTGACATAGTCTAACGGATTAGTAAGCTGAAGTGGCAGTGGACCGGCCATATAGCTCGAAGAACCGACAACCGATGAGGAAAAAAGGTTCTCGAGTGGCGGCCTCGTACCGGAGGACGAAGTGTAGGGCGTACCCCCACTAGATGGAGTGACGACCTGGTAAGACACGCAGGAAGTCGATCGATGCAGGTGGCTCAGGACCGTGCTTTGTGGCATTCCTTGGGAGAGGCCTACTTTCAGAAGTGGACTTGTGATGGATTGTAATGATGATGATGATGATGAATTCTTTAACTCGGTTCAGCCACTTCCACACATAAAAATATACGCGTCGAATGTAGAACCTTCTCGTTTCTTGAAACCATCGATAGTAATAAATATATTAGAACAATCATAACGTCACATGACGTCTATGTAGCGTTTGGTGCTTTTGTGCCAGAAGACCGGATTCGTGGGTTTAAATCCTATACGGAACAATTATTTGTAAGAACAACATAAATTATATTTCCGGTTCTGGAAGGTTGCTTATGAGCTATTTATGTTGCCTCTACAGAAAATTCTTAGTATGCGGAAACGTATTTTAATAAATAATACTAGAATAGGCTAATCGTATACAGACAAAACATATCGTAATAGCTACAATTCTTTTTAATGAAAATCAAAAAATTCACATGTGTGTATGTACGAGGATATCGGGGGGCGATTAGCCCTTACAAACGTATTAATTTGTTTTCTCCCAGCAAAATGGCACTAGAGCCAATTATTTTTTTACGATACAATTTAGATCTACCACTACCATATTCCTGTATGGTTTTTATTTATAAACTAATTATTTTAAAAACTACATACTTTCTAAAGCTACTAAAATCACAACGCGACAACAATAGATCGTCGGTAAAAACCTATTCTTAAAATTTCTTGTACCCCATATTATAGCAGAGATTGTAGGAAATCAAACATATATTTTTAGGCATATACTCGTATTATGAACTATGCGTACGTCAACGAAATAATTATATGTTTACCTTAGGATCGAAACTGAATGCCGTTTCTGGCCGTAAAGGACAAGGCAGACCGCACTTGCACGTCCCGGTTGTTTGTAGATACTCCCGGAGTTGAGGTAGATTGCTGAGCGCAGTACCGCTAGGACTGCAACAAAGATAATCAAATTAGCATAACATTTTTCAAGTAAAGTAGCAAATTTACATTTTAAATCAATTAATACAAAGTTTCGTTCAAAATACAGATGCGTTATCACCTCTGAGGACTAAGACGAAATGGCTCTTTACCAGTGAAATAGGCTTTCCGATTCTCGCCACAAGCCTACAAAACACAGCAGTATTCTGCTGCTATTTTACGCTGGTGTTCGGTGCCAGCGACCCCAGTCGAGCCGACCCATTTATATTGCAGCCATAATATGCTCTAGAATGGCTCTACCACGTACTACGTGTGACACAATAAAGGACCCAGCCTCCAATCTTATTAATTAAGTTTTTTGGTTACTGGAAAGCTTGGTTGAATGAGTGCGTCTGTGATTGCGCGTACGCTAGTCCTATTATATTATCTCCTACATAGTTGCCAACTTCCGTACATTAAATATAGGGCATCACATTAAGCTGAATTAACGCGTATAGATACCAGACATAACATTCACAATATATAATTTCTATAATATATAGACAGTGCAAAACTACACACATTACACATGCGTTACTTGTGTTTGTATCAAATATAAATATTGTAATTTAGTCAAATGTATCTTCATCACCCGCAAAAGTACACTGCTTGATATAGGCCTGTCCAGTCCTCCTAGATTCGCTTGAAGAAATAAATATATTTCATTTCACCACTCGACAACAGTTATATGACACGACCAAATCATGTACATTATAACACAACTACAACGTTAATTACGCTAAAGTAAAAAAAAATGTTTATCAAGCTACAAAATAAGGTTGGCCGATGAACGTTTGACTCTTATTGGAGCATTGACTTCTTCTCATTTTTTTAAGAAATTGACAGAAAACAGAACGCAAACATGCCTTCTGTTTTCTGTCAATTTTTGTTTTCACATTATTCTAGTAAGAATTAGCGGTATTTACCTAAACACTTATTTCATTTCATTCACCAAAGGAGCTCACAGTCAAATTGATTGTAAATGCGCTGTCACAGGACAAGATGAAATGCTCACGATGTAAATATCCGCCCATAAAACCGAGAACATGGTAAATCATTATTTGTTGATTTACCACATTTTGCTACTAATCAAGATACGGCTTGTCAATATATGCAAATAAATAAAATTGTAGTATCTGTTTGTAATGTCAAAATAACAGCTTTTCACTAAATACATATGAAAGTAAGTATACACGGTACTAATTTTTAAAATAATAAATGGTAAAATTTTTGTCAGTCTGTTTGTTCCGGCTAACCTCCGAAACGGCTGGACCTATTTTGATGGGACTTTCACTGGCAGACAGCTGATGTTATAAGGAGTAACTTTGGCTACTTTTATTTGAGAAAAAGAATTAGGGTTCCGCGCAAAAATTATAAACCTAAATTATACGCGGGCGAGAATATAGCGAAACAAAAAAAAAGAAAAAGCCTAAATTATAGCGAAACCTAAATAGTCGCGTGAAACAGCTAGTATTTATTAAATTTCAAACGATACCTACTTTAAATTAGAATATTTTATATAACCATCAAATACAAATTACACGAAACTTATCAACGATTCACGGTTATTAAGAACAAATAGCATCGCAATTACATAACAGGTGTGCATATTTCGTAAGCAATAAACAGCCGGGCCAGACTCTATTTAACAGTGTTCACTGACAGGGGAGCTGTGCATTGATTCGTGTGAACGTTACCAGGCATGTTCGGTGAGAGGCGATCAGCGCAAAAGCTTCTAGTCAAGCGTGCAACCTCTCCCATCTGACTCGGGTTAATCACTGCAACTGACTGCCGATCAATCAATATTTCATTTCTATGCGCCATTATTGACTTTACTCGCTGCTCGTAATAGTTATTAGCTGTTTTTCTATTCTTAAACATATTTACATAATCTTGCAGATAATGTTTTTAAAGAAGTAAGGGTAACTAACAAGCGTACCTGGTATGTGGATACTGTGGCCCACATGGATCACACAAGAATCAAAATATAGAAGCATTGTCACTCCACCAGTAAAAGGCAAAATTTTAAGCACTTGTCACAAAGGACGTAAACTTCTAAAATGCTTTAACTTGAGTAGCCAAATATCAAATTGGTTAATATTAACAAGTTGAACTTGGATAATACGGGTATTTGCAACAATACCAAACTTCACACAACAAACAAAATCTTAATAACAAAATAATAATTAACCAATTCAGATAGACATCAATATATTGTAGTGGTATTTAACTTCATTTTATGTTGGTAAGAATTACATTCTAGTTTTTATAAATAATAATGTCCTCCAGACTGAATTTTAGTCACGGTGGCTAGTCCGTACTGGTAACTAGCCATCGGCGCAGGACAGGATTATGGTGTCCGAGTGTATGCGCAAGCACAGGTGCACTCTCTATTCCTTCACTCTCATAGTCCGATGGGACGGCAATCCGACACGACCGGAGAAATCAGGCGCAGGACCATCATCTGAACGTGCTTTCTGAGGGACGGGGGGTGAAACACCGCCAACTTCCTAACTCCGGGCTGGACCTGGGTTTCGATCCCGGGACGATCTCAATCGCGTTTACTAGCACTAGACCAACGATGGTCGAAACCGCGTTGGAAATATGCTATATACTAAGGATGATTTGTAGTTTTAAAAACGTCTATGTAACCTAACAGGATAAATAACACTATAGGCACATGAGTAAAGAAATCGTACCGTACACAGGGACAGCTTCATACTACCGCCTTGTGATAGATACACTACTACAAGCTTGAGGCACGTGTTTGCGTGAGCACTGGCGGCTCGTCACGTACAGAGAGAACCTGCTTTAAACCGGCTCAGCCAGTGCTCAAACTCAGGGTTATGTCAAAAAAAAATAAGTGTCAAATTTTGTTTTTTAAAGAATAATTAATATCAAATTAAAAATTAATAAATGTAAATGTGGTTTACGTAGATTTAAATCTTTTTGAAGTTACCGCTGATTTTGTAAATAAAATCTTTTCGATGTGATAGTTATCAAATTGAGTTTTTAGAAGAAATGCTAAATTTTTCAGGAAACTAAAATCAATAAAAAGTGATAGACAGAAAGACGTTACAAATAGCATGAATTTCATTCACGGATTTCAAGTGCCTATAAAATCTTTAATAAAACTTCACGAAGAAATAAAATCAGAAGAAATTAAATTAATTTATATTTACGAGACGTCTAAAAAATTGTCTCGAAAATTTATTTGGAAAAGTGTCTGACTTTTGGGTGGTAACTGCCAGGAACAACATGTCATCTATCTGTTACTTATGAAACAAGATATGTTACTTATGAAACAAGACGATTGTCGTATTTTAATACACCATCACCGCAACCTATTACTGCCCCTGTGTTAACAGTAGGAACAATTGATTATCTATTTGATTTACCAGAAAAAAATGGTTTTGTCTACGTGTCGGGATATTTGTATAGAAAATCTTGTCTAGAACACCACAAATGTGAGAAAATAAAATTGTACGTTAATAGATCTGAACAACCTATAAATATGGGAAAATATTCTATTTCCAGCCATTACAAGGATTTTAATACAGATAGTGCTCAATTGGGGTTTTTAATAATATTCTGACATTTTATCGCGTTTGTTAAATTGCTTGAGCGAAATTTCGCGAAATTGACGTCGAAAGAAACATTGTAAATATGGGTAGTAAAATATTAAAATGTGTGCAAGATTTTATTTTTGGTATGAAGTGCGAGTGCTTTCCAATAGATTAATTAAAAAAAATTACATTAAATTTAGAATTTACCATTTAATTAAAAGCCACAACTAATTGTTGAAGAACAATAATGATAAAAGTAAAACATTTAGAATACGTAATTTATAAAAAAATATTATATCTTAAGTATCTATTAGAATGCTGATAAACGTTTTGTTTATTTAGTCTTATCCTCCTGTGCCAACCCTACCGAAATATTTTAAAAAAAAAGTATTTTTTTTTACATATTTCGGTAGGGTTGAAACAATCACAAATCAATTCTTTACTCATGTGCTATAGGGTCGGATCAATAATACTATAAGGTACGGTATAATGCATGGATGCTGCCATGTAGTCTGGTGGTAGAATTCATCGTTGATGCGAATATATTACGTTAATAATACGTTGGGCGAACATCAATTTTTCAAAAAATTACAGGAGAGCAAGAAAACATTTATTATTACCCGATTACTAGCTTTTTTCCATCAGAAAATTAATCTTATTTGTAGTTTTCCATTAAGTCGTATTTAATTTTCTTATGAAAAAAAAAAACGTAGTAATCGGGTAATAATAAATGTTTTCTTGCTCTCCCATGACCATGATTTTTTGAAAAATTGAGGTTCGCCCCTTTGCGGCATCTACGACGAATTATATGTCACCTAGCAACTTTCGTCTTAACGGAAAGGCGTGTAATGAGTATTATTGGTGACCTCAGCCTGGTTACATAGCCAGTCTGGGGGCACAGCCGCAAAATAGTCATCCTCTCGGTGTTCCACAGGATACATTTCAGAGGAATTGCCCGACTTAATTCCTCGCTCTCTCCCTTTCACATTCGGATGACCAAACGTTCGGCCAGTAAGTCTCCGCCACCGACCTATTTTTTGTCGACATACCACACATTGAAAGCATACGGTTCGCTTCAGCTTTTGTAATGAGTGTTTTTTGTAATCAGCAATAGAGTGGAATAATTAGCCACCACCGGTCTTTTTAACCGATCACAATATCACCCATTTTCGAGGCAAGAGTGAGCAGGCTTTTGTTAAACTAAGTTCATCTTTAACTACATCACCACTTACCATCAAGTACAGTTACATTGTTCTCCCTATATTTAAAATATGTCGTAAAACACATATCTATTAACAAACATATTATGTCCGATACAAGTGTGCGCTTATCCCTGGTAGCCTAATAATTAATTAAATCTATAATAAATTCTTTCGTAGCAAGTAACTATGTAATAGGTATAGTTGA